AAAAACGTCATAGATAATAAGAAAATATTCTTTAAAAAAACCTTAAAAAATAATTATATTTTTCAGAATAAGATTTATTTCTTAAAATGAATTTATTTTCTATTTTTATTTTTAGAATATTTGTAAATTTTACAACATATCTTAATAAAAAAATATTATTATTTAATTCTAATTTGAAAATTTACTCCTTTTACTATAATTATAAAGTAATTTCAACGCTTTTATATATTATAAAATTAATTATATTTATAGTATCTTCTGAATGTGATGCCAACAGGTTATATAATATAAGCATCAGTTATAACTAGAAAAATGTTTAGGCCTTAAGTTATGTAAGTTTATATCTGTAATTTGTGAATAAAAATAAATAAATAGTTAAAATTTTTTATTGTTTTTAAGTTATATTCGATACAAATTTTAAAATTAATATTTTAGTGATGATGCGAATGCGGATGCGGATGAAGATGATGCAGACCAAATTTAATGAATTTTAAATACTTCTACACGTTTTGGTGGCAAAAATTCGATCACTTACATTTTATTTTCCATTAATTTTTTTTAAATTTATACAAATTTATCAATAGATTAGCTTGTTCAAATAATTTTTTTTCTAGTTAACTAGAACTAAAGTTTCAGGATAATTAGTGGAGTAGGCCTACATATACCTTTATATTATGCCATTTAAGTGTGAATTTATAAGGAATTTTTGAAAATTATTTTTGGAATTGTTATAGAAATTAAATAATAATAATAATAAGTTTAAAATAGTTTCATTTCTCTGCTTATTTTGTACTTAAATCAAGTCACCAAGGGAATAAAAATGTATGTAAAGTAAATTATGAATTCTTCTCTAATATATTTTACTATAATTTACTTTCAATATAAGGTATAACTTTAACTGTTTAAAAAAAAACCTGTAGAAAATCTCTCGTTAATAAAAATTAATAATTGAAACAAGTAGACGAGTTTGTTTACTTTATAAAGATGTTAGAGGAAATAAAAATCCGACCTCATCTTTGCTATATTTTTCTGTTCTCTAATTACTCGGAAGTTGTAAATTTTTACTTATCTTCCTTACTTAATTTAAGAATTTAAACGCGTTTAAAAATATGTTGGAGATCTTTAAACAAAATTAAAAAGTTGTAGAAAAGTTAGCGAGATGTTAAATTGTAAGAGAATAAAAATCACATTAGGAAGAGTAAAGAGAAGAATGGATGTAAAGGAGATAAGATCCTGTGGGATGAAGAGTTTTTTCTAGGAATTTTTTAGGAGGATGGCTTAAGATTTGAGTATATGTTTAAATGGAGGATAGATATACGACGAGCAATTTAGTATAGGAAAAGCAAGGAGTACGTTTGTGTGCATTTGCGTAGGGAGGAGGACGAGAGGAAGAAGAAATTTGAATCAAGCAAGGATAGAAATTCCTCTCACCTCTAACGGCTTGAGACGGAAGCAGAGGAGGCGAGGCTGCCGCAACCGGCCGAAACACTTCCCGGTTTCCTCAGACGTGTGCTTCACGGCCTGACAATGGCTGACAGGCAACTAAGCTGGAACCTGATTGGTCCGTTGTTGGTTTGCGCGCGGTGGCAAGCCTAGAACAAAAGGACTGGCTGTGTATATTGGCGTTTTAAACGCATTGGCAAATTCTACAGGACTGCAATTGATAAGAGGGGTTAGACAGAAACTGTCGTGGTGGCTAGCTGCAACCGTTCGCAACTTTTGGCACCGAGTTTTGCTTGGCGCCTTCAGTCAGACTCGATGCTCAACAATCTCCATGGAGCAACCGTTCCCTTAGGTAAGACCACACTCCCCAGCCGTTGGCAGTCAGGGAAGACAATTAATTGAGTTATTTCGCTCTTTCATTAGCTCGTTCTGATTTGATAGGTTTGCTGCTGATTAAATTTGTGAACAGGGATTAACTAGTTTACTGTCGGCCTATTCTATGCAGTCTCCTAAATGTAATTTGCCGGTACGACGGGACTGCTGCTCCGGCGCAGGTACTAGAGGCGTGGAAAAATGAGACCTCCTAAAACAAACATTTCGCTGTGTTTGTACATAGTTTTACAGTCAACGGACACTTGCCCGTTCTCGTAGTTTATCCCCCACTTAAAAATTTTTTCCATTTTTTCTTTTCTCTCCATCCTCCTCTTCCTCTTTGCTCTCTCTCTCTTTCGTTCGCTCTTATCACTTTCTTACGGTTTATTCTTTAGTGTTGGACTCTTTCTCTTGTTTAGGGAGTCACTTGCTTGACCCCTCACAAATTAAAACTAATGAAGCTGAAATTAGGTGATGAGTATAAACAGTGTTTTTCCCCATGTCTCAGTGGCAAAAGAAGACAGTTCGGGTGATGTATTGAAGCCGAATGGTGGAGTCGATCCGACGCAAGTAAGTCATGGAGGAACCATCCAGAATTTGGACAACACTTCGCATTCAGGTGGTCCTTCCGGAAGCGATGGAGAGAAACCTGTCAAACAAAAACGTCATAGAACAAGGTTCACACCGGCTCAGCTTCAGGAATTGGAAAGGAGTTTTGCCAAGACCCATTATCCTGACATCTTTATGAGAGAAGAACTAGCCATGCGCATTGGACTCACTGAATCTCGAGTTCAGGTAATTTTATTTATAAAAACATATAATTTTTCTACATATTACCATAATTCTCCATTTATAAATATTTATTTTCCATTCTTAACTGTGCTACAACTCTTGCGAATCCAAATTTATCCTTCTTTTCCTTAACAAACGCACTTGAAGTTGTTGACATTTATCGCGCTTCTCGTAACTGTTTCAAACTCAATTTTTATACAAAACTGAGAATTATATTCTTAATTTTCTGCCAAGTTAAATAGAATATAATCAGATTAACAAATATAATTCATTAAAACTTCAAAGGATAAAACTAAGAAGCAAATAAACAGCTTTCATTTCGAAAACACTTGTTATCATTTGCCTCCTCCACCTCAGCCCACATTCAACCTTCCCTTAGGTTCATACTGACACAGGATTAACTGATCCCACCTAAAAGATGGCAACCTTACACTGGTGCCAAGGAGTGGGTTTTCAAATCCCCTATCTCCACCCAGTCGGCTACCTTACACTTGCAGCAAGTTAGCCCAGGTTTTGCACTTAGAGAGTTTATACAACAGTTTTATGATCATTGTTTTTGCAACCTATTGTTGATTATGATTTAAATGTTTGATCATTTTTCTACATTGAAAGTGGCAGCAAAGTTATAAAAGTTCTGTCAAAAATTATTAAATAAGTTTCTATTATTAAAATTCTATTATTAAATAAATTTTGTAACTTGCCTTTTATTAAATTCCATAGAAGAGGTTCTGCATAGACTACATCTACCTCAACTACAAAAAAGATTTATAAACTAAGAGTTTATCAAAATAAAGTTTATTTTAACAGTCTTATTTATCCTAAAGTTCTCTCTTCATGCTAATACCTTTTATTTTCAGAACAAAAGCTGTTTTTATACTTCNTGAAATCAAATTTAAATTGTGATTTTATTTATTTTTTGATTTTATTTAACGATATAGTTATTATTGTATATTTTATTATAAAATTTATTCATTTATATTATTTTTAAAAATAAAAAGTTTTCAATTTAATTCAAAGAAAATTTGTCGTGTGTTTTTTTTTAATCTAAAAAATTATGCTTCATAATAAATCATTTAAATTTTAGATTAATTTATTAAATTTTCTATAATTCTTTTGCGCTTCCTTAAAACCTAAGATTTGTTTTTATATATGGAATAGGAATTTTAGTTTTCGTTTTTGTTTATTCCGCTATTGTTAAATATGATTTGAAAGGTTTAGATACGTCAGATTACAACAAACAACTGACACGAATTGAATAAGAGGAACTGAACATGCATTGATGTTTTCGGTGGTTTGCTTCTCTCAAGAAGATGAAATCTCCAGTGGACTTTTCTTGTGATCTACCGTTTCTCAAATTGATCCGATGGTCTGCTTGATAGAAGAAGAAAGTACCATTGGTATTGGACGATTTTTATGTAGAAAAAAAACAAGCTAAAAATTTCCAAACAGGAACGATATGACGCTTTAAATTTTATATTAAAAAAAAACAAAAAATATCTAAATCCATTTATACGATTACTGTATTAGATATAAAATTAAAAAAAACTTCAATAAATGCGTTAAAATAAAAATTATTTAAGCTTATTCGAAAGTTTTAAGTTATGTTTTATTTAATATTTATAATTATTTATCGTTTATATTAGTCTCTTTTCTTGTATTATTAATTGATTGGTGAAACGGTTTAATTGTTTATTTCCTAGACTAATGGTGTTAATTGTTATTTGAATTTTCTTTAACGAAATATAAAAATATAATCTTTGTTTTATAATATGAATTTAAAAACGTGCAAAAAAATTCTTAATCATTTCTTTCACCTTTCCGATTAAATATCATTAAACGATTTATAATTTTCTTAAGCTTTACTCATTTGAATAGACTAGTCAGTTCCCCTGTAAAGGTCTCTTTACAGCATTGACTTTTGTTATGCAGTGAAGCTCCCTTCGTCATTGTTATACGTTTATTGCTAATTAATCATACTTTTTTCCTAAATTAATTATTTATTTTGGAATTATATAAAATTATAACTTAGGACCAATTCAAATTTTAAGTATTAATTACAAAATTAAATTAATTTATATTATTTTTTCCCTCTTATCTACGTAACATTTTATTTTAGAACCGAACAGAGCAATACAATTGTGCGAGTTATTTAATTATTTGTTTTTTTTTAATTTTATAAGATAAAAACGTAAATTACGAATTAATTAAATTTTTATATAATTACATCATTATTTAAATATTATTTTCTAAATGATTGGACGATTGTTGTTAGATTGGATTCAATCGAAACAAATTATTTGTTTAATTATTTTCTTCTTTAAATATTACAATTGCTTGTAGATAAACTAGACAATATGTTGTCGCTCAATATCAAAACATACAATCCGATCTTACAAAACTCTCCATAAATTTCAGAAAAACAAAGTCAGAATATCACTTCAGGTAGCAGTCATAATTTATAGATGCACTGGCTTGTGTCAGCCACCGTAATAATTTCTAATTTAGTTTGGTTCCTCTCTCGTAATGTCGAGTTTTAAAAGAACGAAAGGCAAAATACGGAGCCATACAGAATGTATAAGGCCTACAATGCTTACTACATCTCATAGTATCATTAAAGATCGCATCTCTCGTTTAAAACATATATATATTTTGATAGTCATATAAAAGGCTTAAAGGCTTTAAATTGAAGGCCTTAAAAATAATTATAATATTCGAAATAATCTTGATGAATGTTTTCTTTTTTTTTAATATTTTTTTAGAAATTCTGGAGCAAATTTTGGTTCGGGAAAGGCTACAACGAAGTATTATAAAGTTTTACTATTTTGTTCTTTAATGTGTTTGTTATTTGTTTAAACTAAAGGAAAACTTTCATTAGTTAATGAAAACGTAGGCCTACGCCTACTTACTTTGATTTTATAAGGTATATAAATTTAATTTAGACTTTTGGATACGTTTTTTTCCTTTTATAAAACACTTAGCTTTTAGGATAATATTCTAGGTTTTAATGTAATAAGCTCTGTCTTTTCCACTTCAGTTTGAAAATAAAATAAAAGGTGTACACGACTCTATATTTAATATGTGTTGACTACTTCGAAAGCTCCATTCATAAGCAAAATTCATATAGAATTTCAAGGATTTTAATGTAAAGTTTATTATTTAAACTCATTGATCAAAATTACATAATATTTGTATGTAATATTTATATTTTGTCACATTAATTTTAATTTTATAACGTTGAAAAGTTAGAGAGGAGTATCTAAAGAAATTTATTAGCAATCTAATTATAGAAATTTAATATTAAATATTCGTAAATACATCTCTCTATGTTTAAATAATACTATTCTTCTAAATCAAGATGCTTAAATATTCACTCTTAAAGCATTTATACTCGTAGATTAAATCATTTATTCATATCAAAACTAACGAAAATAAGTTATTATATTAATGATGTTGATTAATTAAAGAAATTTATATTATTTTTTTGCTTAATTATTCTTGATAGTATGTGAGACGAAATAGGCAAGGAAATTATATCATATAACAGTCAAGACTTATGATTTGTTTGAGTTTATAATATTAAAAAAAATGCTCCTATCTTTATTTTAATATAGGGTCATTATTGGGAAAGTAGGGTCATTTGAACCAAGTCGCGTTTGTATTAAATTAAATAAAGAACAATTAAGTGTTGTGCAAATATGTCGACGCATGGAAGAAAAAGACGAAAAATCACACAAGTTAGTGAAGTTTGTAGAGAAGTTGTGCTGACATTCAGTGCGACGTGTTGGGTCCCCGGCTAATTTCAGCCTCCCGTTTCGCTCCGTGGTCCATCTAATCCCGGCCATTTATCTGTGTTTAACACGGTGGAGGGAATGTTGGAGGGGAGAGGTTGCCTGTCGGTAGGATTAGCGACCTCCGGTGGCGGAATTGGACATTACCATGTGACAAAAATGTGACGCTAATATTTATGGTGTTTCCGACTCTCTAATCATCCGGTGGTTTTTCTCCTTTACCTGAAACAGAGTTTTGGTCGAATTCGTTAAGCCCTACTCCGTGTGTTGGTAATGGCGGAAGATGTCATGTACTGTAGACATGCCGCGTAAACAACAGTCAATGCCGACATCGGGAATTAAGGTGTCTTGCTCGTTTGATGCTCCATTCCGAAAGTGAAGCGAGTACCAACCAGAAGAAATAAACTGTCAAACAACAACAAAGTTTAAATTTACTTGTAATGAAATTACAACCCCAAGGAAAATATCAGAAAATTCTACTATCAAATTTCGATTTATACGACGTTTTTAATCCAAGTTTTATAATTTTGGATGGTAAAAGAATAGATTAGAGAATTACATTTATTTCTATATATTATATAACTAAGTAGTTTACTCTTCGTTCTTTAACTAGAGAATCGCATCATTTAACTCGTAGAGAGAGAGAGAGAGAAAGAGGAGTATTTTTAGACGCTTGCAAATCGCTGCAAATTTTATAATTTAGAATATTTAGACGTTTAGTAGCTGTCTAAGAATCAGAGTTGCGTAAAAATTTCTCTACTTCTTGATGAGGTAGTAATTATTCTTCTAATTTTGGAAGCTGTAACGCACTGGGTCAGAAAGATACCATAACGGCACTAACAATCAAAACAGAAATAACCGAGAGCATTCCTTAAGGAGACATTCAGGCGATCGAGAGAACTTGGGAGAAAATATTTTGGAGGATGTTGGTATTAGGTGAAGCAAATAGTTTATTCTAAACGAGGCGAAACATTCATTTAAGACTGTATACGAGCACACCGCAACTCGAAACTGTGGAATAAATTTTACACCTTGTTAATTAGGCCACGAGCGATCTATTCCTTAATCAGAAGATCTAGATTTAAGTATTAGAAACAAGAAAGAAAGAAGTCGACATCTTTAACGAGAACAAATAGCGCGAAGAATAAGAATAAATGACGAATGGCACCCGATTTACGAATCGTTTAAAGTCTTATTGACTCGACTTCATTGAAGATAAAGAGAAGAAAGAACAAGTATCATTATTATCTTATTGTTGATTATTTTAATATTCAAAAATCGTATCGTTAGACGTCGTTATAGAGATCAGAAAACGTACCGAGCTTCACTAATCGGATAGATTTGAATTAAAATGGCGTACTGTGACTATAGAAACGTAACAGTATTCTGCTAAATATTGTATACAGATTAATGCAGCTTTATACGAATACGGGAACGTAACAAATTTTATTTAAAACCGAGTACAATGGCTGAAAATGGCCTAAGATGCGTAACAAACTTCATTTAAATGTATTACATTTGAGTTAAGCGGCCTACTATAAAGCCATATATTTAAAATAGATTAAATTAAACGAAATAAATTTGATCTAATATGATTAAAGAAATATAACAGACATTAATCGAAATGACAAACCAATTTATATGGCCTATAATCTATAAACTGTAACAAATCATACAAACTTAAGGTAGGTCGGATTTACGATAGACGAATAAAATACCAACCTATTTTTAAATGCTACTACTAAGAAACTTATGAACTATAATTATTACTTACCATTTAAACTGACCTACCTGGCGATAGACCAGATTTAAAACGCTTGTTATGCCATAGAAACAAAGGACTTCACTTAAAAGAGGTTTAGTTGGCCTACTGTGAGTAAAGAAAGGTAGCAGAGCATGACTTAAACTAGACATATCGGATTTACATGGTATACCGTGACGTTAGAATCTTAACAGACTTGAGTTAAACGGAGTAGACCGGGTTAAAGTGGCCTACTATGGTCATTCGTGTTCCCACGCCAATCGACTGCAATTAGGGAGCGATAAAATCAGTTGGAAAATAGGATTAGCAGAATTAAAGACCAAAATAGAGAATCCCTACGGTGAATGGTTTCCAATGAATTTGTCTTTGGTTTGCTGATTAACGAGTTGTACATCATTAAACAATATCTTTTATCTGATTGTTTGCTATACAATTGATGCTCAAAGTTTTCAAACAAACACTTAATTTTATTTATTCATTCCAAAACATGTTTCGGTGATTAAATTTAATGTTATAACTTGACTACTACTTATAAATAATGAATTTAAATCAAATTAAATTAATTTAATTTATAAATTTAATAAGAAAATAATAAAATAATTCAATTTATATAACTAAATTAATTTTGCTGCGAAGGCGTATCCTCTTATGAGAAACGAAGCGAAATTTTTTTTTCTGATGATTTTCATAATGATCTGAATGTGTTAAATCTATAATAAACTATAGATTAACACATATATTATATAATTTTGAGAATTATATTCTAAAATTATCTTAAGATAAACAACAATTTTCATTATTATATAAAAGATTCAAGCTCATAGATACAGAACATAATGTGTTCGACTTCTCGAAGAAAATCTGGAAAACATCCTCGATTTTTGGCTTTTACAGTTATTTAATATTTATAATTTATAGCTTAGAATGGATAATATTCTTATGGTAATATACGTACAATGGGTGATTCATTGACTAACAGGAAGCGGCTTATTTAAGTGAACAATGTATAAACCTATTCAGTTCAGTCTTTTGTGTGAGTTTAATGCGGTGTTTCCCCAATCTTTTTTTTATAGTCAATCCCTATTAACGTACTGAAAGATTTAGAAATAAGTTCGGAAGGGCCACGACCTACCAGTTAAGAAACATCGGCCTAAAGAAAATATCATACTATATAGGCTATTATATAGAAGAGGATTTTGAGTGATTTCAACCTGTGGCCTAAGATAATTTGCTAGCGATTTTGGTATTAATAATAATTATATTAATATCTCTAATGGAGATTTGAGTCCTATTCCGTCTAGAAATTCAAATTAATATAAAAAAGTATAAGCTATCTTGCCAGAAATCTTCCCAGGCCAATGTGTTATCGAATTGTTCATTGGTGTGGACTTATATACATTCTCAAACAGTAGGAGGCCAAATGTTTAATGGCAACATAAGAACTCGAATAAGATATTTTTAAATATGTATATAGTAAGATAATATATAAAGGTTTATTTATGCTATGACAACATAAATAGGACTTGTTTAGATTCATCCTATTGATAGCAGTTATCAAACTTAGAAACGTAAGAGGCCTATAAATAGAATTATATATAAATAAATTCTATCTTTATGCTTCCAAAGACCTAAGACAGCTTAGATAACAATGATAACAATTAAGTAACTTCCATATTCTCATAACATATGTATTCATCTTCGTACAGGAAAAAAAGGGGGAAAACGAGATCGTTCTAAGCTTAAACTCTTGCAAATTTCTTTAATTAGGGCCTTTTTAAGGCTACAAACAACAAAATATAATCATTTTTTTTTAATTTTAAGCACGGATTTAGTTATAAATTACCCAAAAATTGACACAATACATATCAGATGTAACTCCTGATCGTATCCACAGCGAACACATTTTAAAAAGTAAAATTTAGATCTATTTATGATTTATAAGTAGAAATCAAAAATAAAATATAATTTTAAACTAAAATTTTAGACAATTCGAAGTTAAATTTCTGAAAAATTCCCATCTAAAGATGTAAAAATAGGCGAAATGGAGACGACGAAACCGTAAGATATGCCGAACGATAATACGAGAATTTAATATAGGCCCTTTAAAATTTTAATGTAATTTTAGTCATTTAAATTTAATCTAATTAATTTCTTAATCCTAAATTTTATTTTATTACAGAAAATATTACAATTTATTCTCTAGTTATGATATCCAACATCAATGGATAGTGTGATACACAGAGAAGGGTCGAGTTAACTCTCCTTAGATCTACCCACTGTATTACATTATTAGTTTCTGAATTGCTAGTAAATTATAGCATTATTGCCACTTCGATTCCAAATGGGGCTTCTATAGGCTATAACATTATTCGGTAGAGTGAGAAAACAGCCGGAACTGCATATTTTCTAACGTCATCTGTACGTCAGAAAATATTCATTTCTCTGACATTTCCTGAATTTTATACCCGTCTAAGATATGCATTTCCATTATTTTTGCAAAATAAAGTATACAACCATCAATATTTTATATAAATAAATATATATATTTTTAATTTTCTTCGATCTGGAAATATATAAATTGCTAAAATATTCAAAGACTCGATTGCTCTGTACAATGTTTTTACATGGAAACTATGATTTATATATTTTATTATTGATAAATTTAATAAAATAAAACTAATCTGAATGCTCGAGATCATTTTTAGATGAGTAACAAAGCTAGAATATCAAATATTTCAGTGTTTTTTTTTAAAGATTTTTGAGATGTTTATCATCTCCAAAATGTATTTTTTCATCTTCTATTTCCATAGATCTTATGATTTGTTGATAGATTTTTGTGATGAATTTTAGAAAATATTTTCATTTATTAATAAAATTCCCACTCCTGTCTTTATTTCATTTTATTTTTTCAGTTTTATTTTCAATTTTACGTGTGATGTAACACCGAAAATCAAATTATTCTATCGTCATGTATGAAAAAGTCATCATCGAAAGGCTTAAATTTTATTCAAATTTAAGTAATTTTATGTTAATAATCGAAATATTTTGCTAATTAATAGATTAATTAGTTTAAAATTTTATTATTAATTTAGATTAGTCATTTTTTATTAAGTTTTTAAAGCTGATTTAAGTAATTAAATGGGTCAATGTATTTTCCACGCTCAATTGATGATAAATAGACTTTTAATTATCAAAATTGAAATGTTTTTTAGTTAAAAAGTTTTAAATTTAATAGAATATCTTTGTTTATTTTGATCACTTATCTTTAATTTTGTTTACAAGAATAAATATTAAGCGACATTCGTCGATAACGATTCAGCAGTAAAGAAAAGATAGAAAAATGTAAAATTTCTTAAAATTCTTTAAAATATTTTGATTTATTTATTATTATTTTATTAAAATATATATTTATTTTTATTATTCTTTAAAATATTTTAATTAAATTTGCCTTATTTACTTATCTGTTTCCTTGAAAAGCACGTCTAGTTTGTATCAAGACTGTTTCTTTGTCTAATAAAAGTTCTATTATAAAATCTAATATTTATTTTATATAATAAATAATTATTAAATTTAATTATTTATTTGATGATTTTTAAAAAAATAAAAATAATTAACTTCTACCTATCAAAAATCGTTTCTAGGCCTATGACATTGCTCTACATTCTTCGGAGATGGTAACCTTTCGAGAAATTATTTAACTTAATACTCTGTAAAATATTAATAAATATAGTTTTATAATATAAAAATATAATTTTTTAAATTTTAAACATGCTTTTTTATATATAATTTATCTCAAATTTCCAAAAAATAAGCAGAAAACTTATCACTGTTCGGTTTGAGTCGGAACGATAAAGGAAGAAAATAAGCCTATAAATTGAATTAATTAATGAATATTATTACTAAAAACATTCAGATTTATATAAATATATATTTAGAATAAACGTTAGTAAAATTAAAATAGAAAATTTTATAAAATTAACTAGATTTAAACTCGTTATTTTGAGTTAAGTTTTCGGATAGAGTAGGCAAACTTAAGATGTATCCAGTAAGAAGAATCCCGTCGTTTTAAATAATTATTTTTAATATTTTTACGTAAATTATGTTTAATTAATACTCAAATATAATAGAAAATCCATCGAAATTTAATTAATGTATGTAAAAATTATTGTTATGTTGCTATTGATGAAGATGTTGTTGATGAGGATGCTGTCGGATCAACAGCATCATTATATATTATATGATAAATTTGACAAGTAAATTTTTATTAAATATCAAAAATTTACATCAATAGACGTTAATATAATAAAACTTTAATTTATTTCTGATTCTTTTTGATTTCGTTTCGCGAATGCCAAGATAGAAATTAAATGCAGACAAAACGATTTTCTTGATCAAAATTTATGGATCATTATCGAGACTATATGTATGATAGATCTTAAGGTGTAAGCATTGTAGAAAATATAAGCGATTATTAAAGATAATGATTCAATAAAGTGTTTTTTAAAATTGGTTTTAAACCAAAAAAAAAATGAAGGAGAAAAAAATGATGATGATGAAGTTAGCATCTTTAATCTTTAATCTTACAAAGATGACGCTTTCATCATTAATTCCTGATCTAAATTTAAAAGTTTTACATTAAATACTTTAAGAAATATTTATATTTTTGAATAATTTAATTGTTTTTATTATTTTAAAATTAAATATATAAATTTACAGTAAAAAAAAAATTTATTTTTATTTTTTCACTCACTTAACGGCCTGAAATCTTCACAATAATACTAAAATAAATAGCATTTTTTCAAATAAATAAATTGAATTGATTAGAAATTTTAAAGAATTAATTAATAAATAAATAAACATTGAAGAAATTGCAAAATTTATAGATTTTTTCCCCCTAATTTTTGTAATTAAAAACACCATCACGCGTTAAGAAAATCGAGAAAATTCAATTTTATTTTATGGATATAAAATTCATCTGCGTAAAAAATTATTAAAAAAAAATTAAAATAAAGAATTTTCTTAATGATAAATCGATTAATTTATACAAATTGTTAATCTAAATTAAGTTGTTAACTAATATTTTTATCGATTTAAAAGTTTAAGTTTTATATACTTAAATTTAAGTTAAATATTATGAAGATTTATTTATTAAAGAATGCTTTTAAATTGAATTTTAAGGTTTTAAAATTATAATTTCTTATCAACGAGAGAGAGAGATCGTAATTAATTTATTTTATGAATGTTAAATGGAATAATTAAAAGCATTAAAATGTTTTAAAAAACTTATAAAATTTTGATTATTTAAGATGTATTTTGAACGTTTTATATGATGCGGAGAGGATGTTGATTATGAAATGGGGCATTACTTCTCTAAGTGATCTTGCTTCATCCCGAATATACAGCATCTTTACGATAAGATATGCGATGTTTNATAAATAAATAAAAATTGAAGAAATTGCAAAATTTATAGATTTTTTCCCCCTAATTTTTGTAATTAAAAACACCATCACGCGTTAAGAAAATCGAGAAAATTCAATTTTATTTTATGGATATAAAATTCATCTGCGTAAAAAATTATTAAAAAAAAATTAAAATAAAGAATTTTCTTAATGATAAATCGATTAATTTATACAAATTGTTAATCTAAATTAAGTTGTTAACTAATATTTTTATCGATTTAAAAGTTTAAGTTTTATATACTTAAATTTAAGTGCAATATTATGAAGATTTATTTATTAAAGAATGCTTTTAAATTGAATTTTAAGGTTTTAAAATTATAATTTCTTATCAACGAGAGAGAGAGATCGTAATTAATTTATTTTATGAATGTTAAATGGAATAATTAAAAGCATTAAAATGTTTTAAAAAACTTATAAAATTTTGATTATTTAAGATGTATTTTGAACGTTTTATATGATGCGGAGAGGATGTTGATTATGAAATGGGGCATTACTTCTCTAAGTGATCTTGCTTCATCCCGAATATACAGCATCTTTACGATAAGATATGCGATGTTTTATCAGTTAGAATAGTTTCTCGTATGCTCCTGAAACGAGATCGTTATTTTTTTAACACATTTATAAATGGTTCCGTTTGGCTACGTTTGGTTCATTCCAATGGTATCCAAAAGGTAGCGAGTTTCCTAGATTCGGCATTGAAAAATGATTATTATTATTCTTATTTTTCTAATTTTTTACGTTAATAAAAAAGGAATTTATCGATGGCCTATCGTGTGAAAATATAATAAAAAGTTTAGAAGGATAATCTACAAAGTTATACAGGTTTTTGCACTTTTAAAATGCTGTAAAGATGGAGATTCTCTGGAGAAAAAACTCGTAAATAAAAATTTAGTTTTCTTTTTCGTTCGTTTATAAAAAAAACTTAATATAAAAAATACTTTCTCGTATTACTTGATAGATTATTAGGCCTTAGTTTAAACTAATATTTCATCATATTTCGAATTAAATTATTTGTTTTAATTCTCTAGAAAAACTTCATAATGTAATTCGGGATACGCGATCTACCTGTTGGGAAATGTTATATACACTAGTATGGCGTTATCAGTGATAATTACGTTAAAGATTTAGATATTTATATAAAATTTATATTATTTTATATGCTTAGATTATAGAGAATCTGAAAAATTAATTTATTTAAATAAAAATATTATTTTAGGCTAGAATATAACGGAAAGGAAATCAGATTTCAAAACATAAATTTCAACGAAATGAAATAAATCTTGCTTAGATCTTGAAGTAATAAATAAGATTTAGATCTTATTTATTACTTCCGTATAAAGTAAACAACCATTTAAACTATAGATCATCTCTAATATATATATACAATTAGAATTGTTTATAGATTTCGAATTATGTAACTCGGAAAACAAAGAATTTCAGCTGATGATATAAGAATAGATTAAATAGAAGATTTAAGAGGATTAAAAATAATAATAAATTCAAAGTATTTAATTTCTAAAATTCACTTTTAAGAATAATCAATTAATTTTTCTAATTGAAACATAATTTTCGATGATTTTAAGACACGTAAAGTCGAGTAAACTATTATATAATTCGATTAAAAAAATCCAAAATTAAACACTAAATTAAAAATTATTAATTAATTTCGTAATAAACTTTGAAAATAACGTATAATTTAATGACTTTACATACTTTATCATTATAAAAAGCACTTAAAAGTGAAGATTTTCGGGTTTATCTTTAAAGAAAACAAATGAATTTATTAAACAAATTTTCATAATTAATAAAGTTTTAGAGAAAATTTTCTTTTCTTTTTTTTTCTATCCATTCAAAAGCATTTAGCGCCGAGAGAATATCAGCAGATGCATCTAACAATAGAGTTACAGTTGTCAATCAGGATGGTATCTAGTGATCGGATTGATAGAAGGTTATAAATAGAGGGGGAAAAAAGGTAAAAGTTTTAAAGACGAAACTTTTGTGAGTGATCTAAATAAGAGAGTGGCATAGGAGTAGCATCATTTCATTCCCCCCCGTTTCCCCTATTCCCCCTATAGAAATCCCTGAACTTTTCTTTCAACGTTGAACTTCCCTTAGTTTGTCCTCTTCAATGCAAGGTGACATTTTATCTGTTTCAGGTGGTACCCGCAAGGATGCAGTCTCGCTGGGACGGATTACTTTTTAATGGGACAGCAAAACCACATTAATATCAAATGCGCGTTTGCTGTACGGTACACCCCACTCTCCTGCTAGTGGAGGACTGGCTGCTTGAGATTGCTTCGTAGCTAACGATTCCCTTGAGCATAGTTGGCAGCGGAGAGGACGAAGTCGATCTATACCATCCACTGTCAACGTGTTCATGGATAATTTATAAACTGAGCCACGGTTTGACTCGGTTCCGCTTCTCTCCAGGGATTCAACTGCTTCCGACCGACTCCCCGACGTTCATTAGAAGACACGTATATATACCTGCGTTGTATAGGACAGAAAATATGAATATAGAGGAGGACGTAAAGCGTGCTTTTTCTCTATCCTCTTGGTTAATACAAAAGTGTCTTCTCGTCCTCCTTCTACCACCTTTTATTGCTTATCTTGTTGGTTATAATTTTTAACTTCTCATCCTAAACTTCTTCTTATATAATGTAACTTAATTCGTCTCCGTGTTAATTGGGATGATGATGATGATGATAATAATAATAATAAAAACATTTTTATAATAAGGAAATGCTTTAATTACAGCCTGTATACGCGATTCGTTTACAATTAAATTATTCTAAATTTAAATTTATTATGTGATGTTCATTAGGAGAGAAAATTATAATTCGTTAATTTTCTTAAATCTATTTAATTTACGGATTTAAATCGGTTAATGTATGATTTTAAATAGTATTAGACGTGGATTTACGTAGTTTAGATATGGATTTGATGCTTAAGAAGTGGAAAAACGTAACTTAAATCCCCCGCTTTAGCAAATTTAAGCTACGGATTTAAACACGAATTTTCCTTGTTTAAAATATAAATTACTTCATTTAAAATAAATCAAGATGCGAATTTTTATTTACAAATTCTTCTTACTTTAGGGTTATATAATAATTTAAATATTTTGTAAACATTCTTTTATAAGTGTTGGCTTATCTAAGGCTGTAGAAAATGTGATCCACATCCCAAATAACAACGGATGATGTGGTAACCGCATCATCAATAGAACATCTCAATAGCTTTGATCTTATAACATGGTTGGATTCCTCTTTATGATTAGGAGGATCGAGATTTCATCTTTAAAATAGTCTTCTTATACTCTTTAATATTGAGAATTAAAGCTAAAATTTCACAAAATAGGAGTATTTTAACACGAAAAGATTTTTTGTTAGACGATAAAAATTTAATTTTTGATCGCTTTCTTATATTTTTTTGGTGGAAAATACATGCTAAAAATCTTCTATCAGTTTATATAGGCCACAGAGAAGGATGCAGATTTACATGTTAGCATCTTTTTCATAAGATCAAAGGATTTATACACGAATTTCTCCTTTAAATTTAATAATATTAACGATAAAGTAATTCAAGTAAGAGCAAAGTTCAATATCCTACATTATTAACAAATGTTTAAATATTTAGAAATTTAATAGAATTTTCTAACGTTCATTAATAGAATTCCAGAGTATCACTTTCCTCTTTGAGAAAGATATATTTATTTAATTTCGAATGACAGTAGATCCTTCGAGACATTGCAGACAAATCTTATATAATAAATGTTTTAAAGACATTTAAAAACTAAAATATAATATAAATTGAATTGTTAAAATATAAATAAAATCAAAACATTTGTACATGACGTTTCAGTTTTGATAGAAAGTAGTTGAATTCTAAATATTACTTTAGGAAAATTGCATTTGTTAGAAATAAATAACTTTTTATTTTTATTTTTTAAAAAAAAGCATTTTATTTGATGATGAATTTTATTTATTTTCAACGATTTTTAACCATTTACAAACGTGAAATTCACCGAGGAGAGTAGAAAATCAAGGAACAAGTCGAACGATGCTTATGTTTTTAAACGCTTTAAATTGCATATTAATGTAATTTAATGCATTAACACGGTCAAAATAAGCGTAAATTTCAGCTGCAGAAAAAAGGATATGCACCGTAAATATCCATTCTTATGAATTATTCAAAAGATTGGTAATCTGAGATACCCGTTGACTGACAATATACAGTCGAATGTTTGTCACGAAAAATGTGACACGTCTTAAATACTCAGCTTCTATTGGTACTTCGAAATATGTAAAAATAATTTTGTTTAATAAATAAATAAATATTTTATGTCATAACTTTCATTTTATGAAAATATATTTAGTAGATATTTATTTAATTACAGAAATTTGCCTTGTTTATATTTAATTCATATTTTTGGGGGTTTTTTTAGAGATAATGTCGATAATAGATTTTTATAAATAAAGAATTTTATTTATTATTTAAATATAAATAAATGTTTCTGATGTAGATAGAAACTAATATTTGATTCTATTGCTTAGAAATTATTGTATATTCTTAGATAAAAAATGCGTTGATTTGTTTTGAATTATGCACTAATGTAAGCGTTAATTTGTTCAGGTTTGGTTCCAAAATCGAAGAGCCAAATGGAAGAAACGAAAGAAGACGACAAACGTCTTCAGGAGCCCTGGTGCCCTTTTGCCATCACACAGTTTGCCACCATTCGGATCGATGAGTGACGGATTTTGTTCCTTCGCCGCACCAGATACTCGTTGGTCCATGACAGCTGGCATGTCCCAAATGGGAAATCCGGGACTTCCATTGGGTCCTACACTATCCCGCCAACCGACTCTGGGACAAGCATTATCTGGTCCTTCGGCAGCGGCTGCTATAGGAGGCATGAACCAAGTGTCATCCCCATTGTCTCCCAATTCTCTCCCCTCCATCACGACGAGCGCCTGTTCTTCGGCCGTCTATCAGCCACCTTACGGTGGTCTCAACACGCTCAATACGCACGCGGGCGTGGCACCACCCCCGGGTTTGGCACCCGTTACAGCAGCTGGTATGCAGACGGCAACTGCCTCAAGTCCGCCCAATTCGGGCTCGTCCTCACCCCCGCAACTCGCCGGTGCCTGTAGTATGGGCATGGGCCACGCAGGAACGGCTGATACGTGCGATATGTGGAGAGGATCAAGCATAGCATCCCTACGAAGGAAAGCACTCGAACATACAGCTTCTATGTCCGTCTTTAGGTGAATAATAATTCTTGTGAAGAAATGTGATGCCAATTTATGTCCTGGACTCCATTCCTCTGTTTTATTTTGTATAGCAGCCAATATACAATTTAAAATATCCGTAGAAAATATCCAAAAAAACAAAAATGTTCCAAGAATCGATTCTAGGAACCTTGATTTTTTTAGTAAAGAAAGTCGCACTCGGCTTCAAAAAAAAAAAAAATACACAAAAATAGACAAAAATATAGTAAGACAGAGGAACCAATTTCATCTCGTGTTTCTAAATTGATCATTTTTCTAAGTACATATTTCATTTTCTTTCTTTAACGTCAATTTGTTTACATTCGAATCAAGAACAATGCTTTTTGCCTATCAACAGTTTACAAATAATTCCATCCGAACTCAACCTGAAGAACTGTGTCACATTGCTCCTGTTTTATCTCCATTTAAAAAACAATAAACCTTATTTTAAAAAATATATGGACTATAAAATTAATAAGAAATTATTAAATTTTAATGATTTTATTTCACACTCATCAAGAATTATGCTGTGAAGTAATGTAAATTTTTAATCGCTTTAGTTCTATATTAAGCTTAGACAATTTTACAATAATTATAATTAAAATTTATTTAACTTCTTAAAATTATTTTTTAAAATAATAATTAATAATAATAATAATCAGAAACATTTTCGCAATGAATAAAATCATTAAAACAAAATTGTGTTTATAGTATTTTAAGGCAGATTAAATTAAGGTCTTCACAAATGACATTTTTAAGACAAAATTTTAAAAAATATATATTGTATTTATTTTAATAATTTTAATTAAAGCTACTGTATTATGGTAATATGCTCTTCTTATTTGCATCTGCATATTAGATTTCAATATTTAAATATAATATAAATATAAATACAAATTAAGCTAAAGATTTCACTCTTAATGCTTTCTTAGGTGCCCTAAAAAAGAAAGAAAATAATATATCAATTCAAACNTGTATACTTTGATTATAGAGAAATTTTTTGGAAAAATTTAATTTTCTTCTCTCTTTATATAAATTCTTGATCTTGATTGTTTCTCTTAGAATTAATACGTTATCGGCAACGAATAAAAATTGTTCGATAATCAATATAACGTCATGTATGCTAATTATTTGAATACAAACAGCGGTTTGTCTAGTAATACCTCGTGTAGTTCTTTGTGAAAGTCATGAATGTACAGTACATCTGTGTACAACTAATAGGTGTCATTGGGAATTGAATAAAATGAAGAAAAAATAAAATATGTATACATATTTGTCAACTTTTCTTCATCAAAATTCATCATCCGGATAACAAATTTCCTCTCTTTCTCTCTCTCTTTCTCTCTCTCTCTTAAAACATAATTTCTTATTAACAAAATTCTTAAATAAAGAAAATATTATGTATTTTAGAAAATATACATGCTATAATTACGTCTTTTTAAAACATTTTTTTCATGAAAATTTAAGGAATTAGACTTATTTTAGTAGTTAATTGAAGCAAATAGCGTTGAGCTATTTGCGGATCACAAGTGATGAGATTATGTCAAAAAAATAAAATAAAAAAAAAAACCTCTGCAAAGAAGAATGACAAGTAATTTTGGTGATAAAAGTGCCATTTATTTCTCTTACCAAATAACCTATTTTCTTCGTGATCTAATCTCCACGTCATATTATCTTCTGATGCAAAGGTAATTGTCTGTTCTTTCACTTTTTATTTTTCCTACATTTATTTCTAATTCTATACACGGAGAAAAGAATAATTTGCAAAATGTATGCAATTCTTCAATTATATTTTCTATTTTAAACATCTAAAGAACCGGATTATATCGAATCGAAAGAGAAGAAGAAAAGAAAGGAAAAAAATAAAATAAAATAAATTGCCAAACATTCCAAAAGGATGGATAATGCTCTTTAAATATCTTTTAATTTATTTTACATACAATTCAGTTACTATAGACACGCTAAAATTAATTCTTGCAAACTAAAAATTTCTACAACAATTGATAGAAAGTTAAAGGAATTAAGGTATCTTCTCTGCTTGTTGTTATCGTCGAGTCTAGATCTTGTATCGGCCATTTTATAGGGCGGAGTGTTACTGTCTGTCACCATCATTGGTCGTCGTTACCTAGCAACCGGAAAGAAGAGGCGGAGCAGATCTTGGATGTCAACTAATGATGCCTGGGATGCCATAGAAAGATCATTTTGTTTATGGGAAGTTATTGAAGTGGTTTTTTTTTCTTTTTTGGGGGTGGAAAAGAAGGTATCAGATTTATTTCGTCGTTGAGATGAAGGGCACGACGGTCAGTTTTATGTTTCTTTTTTTTTTTCTGGAGGGAGAAGAGGCTCAACCGAGCGATTTACTGGATGCTGAGTTTTAAAATGACCGCTATTTTCAAAGATTTTCGCTTTGTCAACTTTAGTTTTTCAATAACCGTTTGAACGAACATGAAATAACAGAGATATTGATATTTCTGGTACAAATACTATATTTGTTAAAATGAACTAAAAAGAAAAAAACTCTTTATTGTCCTTGTAAACAGTCAAAGAATTGTTCAAAGATATATAAAGGTTGCTGTAATGGTTGACTGTTCTTTTCTCCGCATCTTTGTGCTTACAAGGATCGAGATGATGATGTTTGAATAAGTGAAAAATATCCAGACTACTACTACATAAATTTAAAATGATCTACTTTAACTCTTGAGAATTATAAATAATAAATCCTTGTAAAAAAAAAAAATTATTTCGCTAAAATATCACTATTAATTTTCTAAACATTTTTATCTAATTAAAACATAAATTGTATTTATTTAAATTCGTGTTTTATTGCTCAAATTCTAATTTAGATTATCATATAATTACTTATGACCTTTAGCATTGATTTAAGATAAAAATTCTGTATTTTTTATATAATAATTTATTAATTTTAGTTACGATTTTAATCAATTTTTTATATAAAAAATATATATTTGATCTTTAAGAAGTGATAGTAAAAATCGATTGTGTGGAACGAATAATTTAATGCCTGAATTATATTGATAAATTCTTGGATAGAATCCTGTTTCAGCTGACAATCGATAGCATTTGGAGCTAGTAACAAGAATTTTATAACTGAATTTATTTCATTGTTTTAAACCTTTATAAGTTAGAGAAGTGTTTCATTAAGAATAAAATAATTAAGATATTTTTATTTATAAATAATTATTCTAAAGTAAAATTAATCCATATTTATCTTAAATTTATTTTTTATTTATTATAAGCAATATTTTAATGTATAAACTTAAAATAATTATTAAAGTTTTTACTAATTATCTTCATTAAATAGTTATTAAACTATAAGCCAATAATCCTGTTGCTAACATAAATTATATAATTAAAATTTAACTAAATTGTAATTAAAATAAACTAAATTTATTACTAAATTATTATTAATAAGAATTTTATAGTTAAAATTAATTGAATTATATCAAATCTATTTTACAATTCAGACATACTGTACATAATGAAGTTCAAACTGTGAATTTTTTTTATTCAGAAATATAATTTGATGAAATAATTCAGTTAAAATTTTATTTTAAATTCATTTTATCTTATCTAAGCAATGAGTTGTATTATAAATTTATTTAATTATCTTTAAACAAATTGTTATTAATGTATAATGATAAACCTATATTGCAACATGATTTTTATGGATGGAAAATTATTTTATCATAGAAATTTCTCAAAAAACTCTTAGTAGATAATATTATAAATAATTTTATTCAAAAACAATGTTTCTAAACTTCATTTTTATTATAAAAATATACATATTAAGATATAGAACATGTATTAGAATTTAGAGATCAGCATCCTTAAACAAAGGATCCTGCGACTTAAAAGATTTATCTGAGCACAAATTTAATATATTAGTAGATAACTTAATCTTTTTTAGAAGTTTTCTTTGGCGATAAAAAATAATAAAATTCCAATTTTTTGAATCTTAATAAGACACTAGAAATACATCTAATCATCATACCTCTACTTACCTTGCTGAAGTATAGCGCAAAGGGGGACTTATAGTATTATGAAACGTTATTTATTCAAATCTGACGATGAAAATATTCATCTTAGAATTATTTTTTTCTTCACAAAATTAAAATAAAAAAGTAAACTTAATATTTATAATCAAAAAAACAAAGATTTAAAGTTTAAGATAAACTTAATTTTATGGGTAACATGTTTATAATAAATCTATATTTTCAATAATTAAAGTACAGAGAAATAAAATAAATTACTGTACAACAAAATAAACGAATTACTTCCTTAATAATTTATTTTTCTTTCCAGTTTATTGTCTTAGGACAAAAGAAAAAAAAATATATAAAAAAATTACAATTTAACTCATACAAATAAAGTAATCATTAAATATTTTATACAATTTATACAATTTACTTACATGTTTAATCTATTTATTTGGTAATTTGATTGTTTTCCTTGTAACTAAACAATTGTTTTTTTTTTTTCCTCTCTTTCTTTAATTTTAACTTTACTAATTTCTATTTTAAACACTTAAAATAATAAAAAATATATTAAATTTATTAAAATAAATATATTTATTATATCATAAATTCATTTTAATTATAAAATTATAAAAAAAATATTGGTTAAAATATTTAATTTTAGCTTTTTATATGCTCCTAATGTGAGTTTCTATACTTTCCTGTTTCGATTGGTTTGTCAGATTATCCCTTTGTAGTAAAGAAAATCTAATTATAAAGCATAAAGTTTATTCTTTTTTAAATTTTATAATGTTTAATTGTTTTAATATGAAGAAATTTCAGGCATAGAGAGAGAGGGGAGAAGATTCAGGTAACAGAAATATTTGTGTGTAGAGCTATCTTAGCTGATAGGATTAAGAATGAGCATATAAGGAGTAGTTTAGGAGCAAGGACATTAAAGAGAAGATTGTGGAAAATATACTTAGATGGCTTGAGTATTTGATTAGAAGAGCAAAGGATGAATTGGTTAGACTTAGGAACTAAGACAAATAGAAGTAGCTCCAGAAAGAGTTGGGGATTAACAGTTAGGAATGATTTAAATCAGTTATAGTTAAATAAGAAGATGTCTTAAAGTAGGATAGTTTGGAGGGATGGTATGTCAAGATCTGACTCTTCTGTGAGAGACAGAAAGAATAGACAATGATGATAATGATGATATCTTATACTTAAGGTTAGTTGGTGGCTATACTCTTAAGGTCTACTAATATAAATATGAATAAGGACAGAAAACTCATCTTAAAATATGAGATAAATAAAAATTTAAAACACATAATCGAATAATAATCATTGCAAGTTTTTTTTCTGAAAATTAAAAGAAATATTAAATATATTAAACAAAAAAACTTTAATTTTATTTTG